TTAATTAATATAATTACTTTGGTAAATAATCCACAAAACACACATTTTATTGATAAAATTTTAATTTTAACAAAATATCATATTTTTGTAAAAAAATTTAAATATTTTTCATTTTCTGATCGTTAAAAAAAATATTTTAAAAGTTATTTAAAAAAAACATGGCTAGCTTACGAAATATACACACCATCGTGCTTGCAAGAAAAACGCACAATTTTTGATAGAAATTCGACAAAATATTAAACTAAAATTTTAAAAATGCCAATTAAAAGAAAAAGTCTGAGGACTGTAAAGATTAAGAAATTAAGCTGCAAATAGCATAGTACAAACTCTAAATACGTTATTAACCCAGGATAAGACCATCTCCATCAAGTCACCATTTTTTAAAAACTTTAAAAAATATTATACCAAATTATTTCTCATAAATTTTAAGTCAAGGTCAAGATTTAATCTACATCATTCACTCGTTGTTATATAATTTCGCCGGGATTAATCATATACAATGACTACAATTATTAATCATTATTCTTTTCCGATAATTGACGATTTCAGTATTTATAACCACTCAAAACGTAAATAATAAATAATATTCGTTATTCATGTTAGAATGATTTATGATTACTTTGTTGTAATCATTATTCATGATTACATTTCATAAATAATAATCATAGTCATAATCGAATACAATTTGCCCCACTCTGTCCATTTGATCAAATTTTCAGGGGAGCGTAAAAACATAAAAATACATTAAATTGTTGTTATATAAGACATCCTGTTAGTTTTTCTAACATGCCTATAGGCAGTAAGCCACTGTATTCAGAAACCTTTTAAAATTTGTAGAATTGAATTTAGAGAACAAACATGTTTGGTTATAACCAAATTTCATTTAAGATGATTATTTTTAAGTCCCATTTAAAATAATGGTCTTTGACCACTTTTAAAGTGGTTATATGTATGTGTGAATGATCCTCCTCTACAATGATCACTACTTAAGTAGTAATAATTATTTGCCAGAAGTGGACAAATTTGGTTTTGATTAAAAGCTCCTCAATTAAACCGTACCAAACATAATTATATAATAAAATCCTATTTTGATTTACATAAATATTGAACATAAAAACATAACAATTAAATGAAAAAGTAGATGCGTTTTACTATATATACATTAAAATAACTTGCATTGGTCAAAATTGATTAACTTGAAAATATTTTTAAAGCCAGTTTCCTGTCTGTCATGAGAATTTTATATTATTAATTTGTTTAATAAAATTAAACAAATATACTTTAAATTTTTTAGTATTGTATTCTCTTTTTAAAATGTTTTTTTAAAGCCAGTGCCCTGGCTTTATGAAAGAGCTCTGGAGCTTTTTTATTTAACTTTCTACTGTCTTTTGAATTTAAAATATTATTTATTTGTTTTATAAAATTAAACAAATTTACTTTGGTATTTAGTTCTGACAAACAAAAGCAGGCAATAAAAATAATAATATTAACTTATATTTAAAAATATATAGATCTTCATGCAGAAAACACCACTGCAAAATTACATACTAATTTTAATGAAACCAAGCTATACCTGGTAATAATAATGTTGGGTAAGCCAGACGACCAAGTCTTTTATTACGTAAAAGTCCTCCTGAATAAAATGCTTTGAACACACTCTGCAGTTTGTAAAAATTTTTTGAGGTGTCATCTCAAGAAGTCTTTTATTGGCACATAACTTAACCCATTTATTAAACAAGTCGATGTTCTTTGAAGGATTTGGAAAGGAATGTTTAGATTCCTTAGATCCCCAACAACTTTCAACAGCACAATATATAGCAACCATCTGTAATAACAAAGTTTTAAAACAAGAATAAAAAACATACTTACCTTTCAAGATGTAAAAAATAAAATAAAATATAAAAATAATATAAAAATATAATAATATTGGAATTAAGCACTAATTTAACACACGTTCAAGTTTATTAAACCAACTTATATTTAAGACACTTGACAGACATTAAAAACAGAGCATATATGATTAATATAATATTTTAAAGATGAGTGACAGCTGTTTATGAATTAATTAAAAAGGTTAAAGCTGTTTATTAGTTGCGGGGTTGCTACATCGTCATTGACCACAGCGCCGTCTAAAATGAAGAAACTATATTATGATACAAGGCCATCCATTAGAGTAGATTATCTATTGGTGTGGTCTAGGGATACAATATTATAAAAATAAACTAGCGTCTAGGAGTCATCGTGCAGTTGTTACTGATCCCGTCATATTTTTAGGTTGTTTGAGAATTACAATCAACGTTTGTAATTAATAACACTTGTTTACAAATTAAAATTAAAAAAATGTACCTTCGCTGCCACTATTTTTTTCTAATGTATTGTGACCTGTTAAACTTAAAAATCACAAAAAAAAAAAAATTTATGGCAAGGTTTTTGAGATAAAATTTTTTCTTTAATATTTTGGTTCTTTAAGAAAGCAGCTTTACAATTTGGGTCATATCTCGGGTTAGAAATGGCCAATCTGGTTGAAAAAAGTTTAAAATTAAACATATTTGAGTCGCCAACAAATATCACCTTATTAGTACCCAATCAGTTAATAAGCTTAAGTTCAATGGGCTCAAATATTGGAAAAAGTCGTTTTTTTTTTGGAGAAAAATGAGAATGTAACATTATTTTCTTTGCCAAGGATGAATACAAATCAACAAAATATGTCAATTTTTAAATTATCTACGTGGAGTTCAAACTGTTATAAAGAAAACAAGATATTTTTAAAACAAATCTATTGATAATTATTATAATTAAAGGGGTTAATGCAAAAAGTGGACAGGTAAATTTTTTTCCGAAATTAAGTTTTTTACAAAAAAAAAGGTTCTATTTGCCTAATAGAACCTTTTTACTGTTAAATAAATTTTATTTTATATTTTAATATTAAAATACAGTGTGTTCCTTTTAAAACTAACCCCCCTAAATTCTCGGAAACTAAAAGTATTTTAAAAAACGCAGAGACAGGTAAAGTTTTATATCGAGGGGGAAAACTTTTTAAGGCAAAATTTGGTTTCCCACCTTTACCTTCTGCGCCCCGGAGTTACCCCCTTAAGAATTTAAATAGAGAAGGGGTACAGAGTACTACATTATTTTAAAGGTCTTGAAAATCCCTATTAAACGGTATTTTTTTTTTAAATTGGTCAGTTCATTTTTTAGATATGTACAAATTATTAAGGGAAAAGCTCCTGGGCATAGAGGATAAGGGTGGGAAACCAAATTTTGGCATTAATAGCATTAACGGCAAAATTTGTTGTCTCCCTCTATATAAAACTTTATGTGTCTCGTGAGTTTTCAAAATTCTTTTAGTTTCCGAAAAATTCAGGATGTTTCATTTTAAATGGAACACTCTATATATCATTATAATATAATTTAATATACAATACTATTGTAAATTAAAAATAATTTAGGTTTTTAGATTGCCTTCTGTTTTCGTTATCTGATTCCCTTACAAGGAACCAAATATAATCCCCCATCATTCTTTCATTCCAAAAGCCCTGATAGCGCCGCTCCATGGATTTTATTTCTTGATGAAACCTTTCACCATGCTCATCACTCAGGTCACCAAGATTTTTGGGAAAAAAATGGGAATGTAAGAAATGAATCTTCAGAGACATATTTACACCTGTTAATGAAAGGGATAAAATATATATATATACATTAGGGTGTCCCTCATTTTTATTTTTTTACGCATACCCTCTAATTATATTTATTACGTGTTTATATACTCCCAGTAAAAATTTCAGCTCATTCTATAAACGGGAACCCGTGCCGACTTGCATCTGAACCCTCCGTTAGCCAACGTTAGGCGGGCGGTATTTTGTAATACGAAACACTTTAAAAAGAAGATATCACAACGTACCTGTACATAAACTGTCATAACTTTGACATTTATCCATAGAATTACTACTTGTAGATATTTTAAAAATGGGCATATTTTAATGATTTTTGCTTCTTTTTGGTAAAATAGTAAATACTTAATTCCAATTTTGTCCAAAAAATTGACTTTTTCTCGATATTTGGCCCCATTGCACCTAAACTTATTGACTAATTGGGCATTTATACAATTACATTTGTTATTATGTTAATTAGGTTTAATTTGACATCTGTTGTAATCAAATTGGCCATTTCAAACTCGAGATATATCCCAAATAGTAAAGCCGGCATCGAAAAATCAAAGACAATTTTTTATTTGGAAAATCTTGCCATAAAAAAAATTTTTATTGTCATTTTCGAGTTTAGCAGGCCAAAATACATCAGAAAAAAATAGTCGCACTCAAGGTACATTTTGACTGTAAACCAGTGTAATTTAATTTTATTATAATACAAAATTAAACCAACCCAAAAACCATCCTATTGAAAGCGATTATTCCATTATTCCATTGGTAAATTTATATTGGCCCAATTCAGAAAAAAAATCATTTTTTATTAATAAAATAATAACAAAAGTTTCGTGTACACAGTGTTTTTGAAATTTTAAACTGAAATATCTCTGAAATCACTGATCTGATTAGCTTTTACATTGAAAAGGGATAAAAAATAAATCTGATGATTTTCTAATAAAATCCAGTGGCGTCAAAAATATGAGGGTAAAAAGGGGAATCCCTCCAAAATCTCCGCCACTGGGCCTTTTGTAGAAAATTTTCATTATATTATCGACGGAAGCTTAACCTACACAAAATTTTAGAAGAATCTGTTCAATGGTTTAAAAATTATTTTAAAAGACTATATCTCCGTTAGTATGCATTTAAAAAAAATGGTTTTGGGTCGTTTTTATTATTTTTTCGGGCTCTATCGATCATTAAAATTTTTCAGATTAATCCTAGGACCACCCTGTACCCTGTATATTTTATAATCACTATAAAATAATCCTTTTTTACCCCAAGATTAAAAAAAAATATCTTTCTAAAAACTATAAGCAATGTCTTTCATAAACCTTATAACAAATGACCTAAATGTACCTTGCACGTCCACGCATCCCAATTGTTTTTTCATCTCCCCTGTGTTAATTTGGCACATGTAGCAGCCGCGATCGGACTCCTTTAGCTGCCTGATGCGCAGTTGCCACGTTTTCAGGCTGTCGTCGTGCGTCACCGTGATCCGAGGATTATGCGTGATGACACGCGTATGCAAACTCAGGATGGTTTGGTCGTCGGCCTTCATCCAACCAACCTTTAACAAAAACAGAGAAAATTAAAACAAATGTTATTTTTTTAAATATAAACTTGACAACCTTGTTTTAACATAATTAAAACTTCTTAATAATTAGACTATACTTTACCAAAAGTTTTTAAATCCTTATTAAAATGGCTCCATGGCGTCAGTTTAAAAAAAACAAACTGTTTTACATAAAGTCCTATAAGAATAGCACCTACTTACATATTTTTTGTATTACTTTTTTAAATTAAAACATATTTCTAAACATTTACTTTTTATCTTAAAATCTTTATTATTTTATTAGTTACATTAATTAGTACTATTTAACAAAGGATGAACTAGTTTTTGTGGATCTCTTATAGCGAGCAAGCTTAATAACTATTTTAACAAGTTTAAGGATCAATACACCACGGCATCACGATAGGTATTGGCTTAAAACTAATAAAAATTTCAACCTAACAAACTTTTTAACTTTATGCGGTTAATTAAAATTTTAAGCATTCTTAAGAACCAAGACTTCTCTAATTAGTTTTTAATATGAAGTGAAATAAGTTTCTTGAAAAAGGAGAAATTAGACTCTTTGAGCTTCTCGGTTAAAAGTTTTTTATGTTTTGTTCGCAACACTTAAATTAAATAAAAGAATAATTAATGAAACAAAAATTTAATAATTTTGGATTATAAAGCAACATTTTTTTATGTATAGAGGACTCCTTATTTTTCTTTAAAGTTTAAACCCATGAGAGCGAAGCTCCGAGTATTCAGCTAGTAAAAATAAAATTTGTTTATGTAAAATTAAAATTGTCTATTTGTACAAACAAAATAAACACCAAAACAATATTAAAATTTATAAACAACTTCCACCGCCCAAAACAATCAATTTATTGTTGTACTACATTTTATTAAATTAAATAAAGGGTCAATTTTGAACACAATTAATTACATTCGTTAAAATTAATTGCATTCGCTATAATTAACGAAACATTTAAAAAATATTATAACAATATGTGTAATCCTGATATACAGTGTGTCCAGGGATGGACTTAACTATACTTGTAAAAATATTTATTTTCATTTTTTCGAAAAAAATTCATTCTTTATAATTTCTTTTTATATAAATACGATTCACGTTGAGAAACTTCCATTTTGTTATACAGGATGCGCAAAAAGAATACAATAGTAAATTTTGCAAAATAAAAATTTTTTAAATACATTTATTTAAAAGTCTAATATGAAGAGAAATCAAAAAGACAAATGAATTTTTTTTATGCGGGTTGTTGTTTCTAAGATATTTGTTATTAAAAATAAAATCCATTCAGATCCTATTATTTTGTAGAAATTCACTTCTTTCTCATTTTGTGATTATGAATCAAGGTTGTTGCTTTCAACTGACATGTCTACAATGTCTACAATTATTTCTTAAAATATATCTTTTATTTTGAATAACAAATATCTTGGTATCAAACCTCATATGAAAAAACTTCATTTGACTTTTTAATTTCCCCTTACCAGCTATTTATATTAGGGCTTCGAAAAAAATTATTTAAAAATTTTTTATTTTGAAAATCTGTATTTTTGCTTACCCTGTATAACAAAATAAAAGTTTCTCAACGCGAATCGGATTTATACAGGGTGTCCCAGAACTCGCGCCACAGAGAAAAAGGGAACGTACCGAAAGTAATTTGAAACACATATTTAAAAATTCAAATTGTCCAACGCAAAGGATAAGGGAGATAAGAATAAAAAACGATAGCCAATCCCAATAGATCACCACAGGGAATTCTTTAAATTGCTAGGATACTTAGGTTGCATTGTTGATAATAAAAAATATGTAAAATATTTGGTCCACTGGAATCCAATTCATTGTAACACTGTTGTCAATCTTTACTTCTGTCATTAATATTATATTAGGTTATAAATTAAGTTATTATTGACAATGCTGTCAATCTTTACTTTTGTCATTAATATTATATTAGGTAATAAATTAAGTTATTATAGATAATGTTTTCCTTGATGATTATACCGAAATGATAACTATTTATGGGGAGCGTGGGCCCAAAAAAAGCTAAATAAAGTACAACTGGTTTGATTTTTTACTTTAAAACATTGGCGTTCTGAAGTATCAGTCATAGATTAATAACCTCATTTTTTGAAAGCTTTTGACAACTTAGTAAATACAGTTGGCCAAAAGATTTTTAAATGTTTTTAATACAACAATGTTCTATCGTCTCCTAGCAATTTTTAAAGCTCCTACGTTTAACTTAGGCGAGATCTCTCGGTATTGGCTGCCGCTTTTTTGCTCTCATTCGATTACACTATTACCTAGAAATTTTTTATTTTTAAATTTGGCATCTCCATTGCTATCGGCACGCCCCCTTTTTCTCTGTGGCGCGAGTTTTGGGACAACCTGTATAACTAGCAAAGAAATTATGAAGAATTACTTTTCCTCGAAAAATTAAAAAAAAATATTTTTACAAGTATAATAAATATTCAAAACATCAGTACCTTGGCGTGTCACAACTCCTGAATCAAATATTTGAGTGATTTTATTTTAAAATATTTTCAATTTATCTTAAATTTTTCAATTTTACTACAAAATTTTACTCACTTTTACCCGTCAGTTCAATGTCCAATGTTAAAATTCAAAATTCCCGCGAAATATTGAAGGTTAAACATCAAGTCCTCGTTTTAACTCAAGTGTTGGTAAAAAATTACCTACAGAGCCCGCCCTTTGTACGACAGTCATCTTGAAAACAATGCAAGCGGCGAAGTTGTGGTGAATGCACGTAGAGTTCCAGTCCAAATTTCAGTACTGTGGTGAGTAGTTATTTTCTTAAGTATATATATTTTTTCGCAAACTTGAATTTAAATTCTGCTTGCCCAGAACTTGTATATTATAAATTCATATAAAATTGGTGTGGGTCCCATATCTAATAATTGAGATATCGGTATACCCAAAATCCACCAGCCGCCACTGATGTGTGGTATTATTTGATTTTAAGATATTTAATGTATAATACGCTCAAAGTTGCAATACATCTTATATTTTCCAATAAATTGTGTATTTAATTAGTACCCTGGTGTCCTCGTCACTTCCTTTGCATTTAAGTTTAGAAAACACAGATATTTCAGAAACTGTTTTGGTTTCAAGTATATTAGCTGTAATAAGGTGGGGTGGTAGACTAAGTCCTAAGAACTTGAACCTCTTTCTATTCTGTAAATAGTATATAATTGTATTATATCTTATCTTGCACAATAAAATATTTAAAGGATGTGATACATTTATATATACAGGGTGTCACAGAGAAGAATGGTAACATGTTACTAAGTATATTTTAATTTTAAGGTTATATTATATCACTAGGTACTTTTTCTTCACAAAACTCGTAACGCCATCTAAAAGTACCACTATTCCCAATAAATCCTTTTTAATATCTTTTTTCTCTTTGAGAAATCATTACTTAAAATGTTTGAGTTTGGTTAATTATCACAAAAAATTAATATGTAAGCTTGTTAATTAATCAGCCTGCTTTTATCCAACATCTGTTCCAAATTAGTTTGCATAGATTTATTAAAGGATTAGGGATATTGAAGGATTACCGAAGCACCCACTCACTTTTAATAGCGGGTGTAAATTCGTTCTTTGAGCGGCGCTTTAAAACAATTCTTCCAACGCAAAAGGCATCAAAGCCAAATGAAATTCCACGTAGTTTGTGTGTGACATGATTTAAACGTTTATCTGTTAAAGTTCACTAACTAATTCGAACCGGTTCCGATTTATTTGCAAATCGAATTACGGAATTTTCACGGATAAATGACTATAAAGTCGCTGGAGGACGCTGCGTCTGTTTCTTTTATGCTCAACTTTCTTAACTTTGTTTTTATGCGGTTTGCTTTGAGCAGACGTGAAGTTACATGATATAATCCAATTCTGTAAAATAGTACTATACAGGGGAACATAAAGGTTAGGAAAATTGAAGGGTGATTCTTTGATTAAGAGAGTTTTTTTATGAACTTATCCTCGACGGGTTATCGTTGCCAAATTACATGGTGGTAAATATTTTTTAAATAACTTTCGAACACTAGATGATAATGAAACGAAATTTTGGAAATTCATTTATTATTAATAAACTTTCAAAGCTTCCGCCATTTTGTAAGACTGAAAAATGGCATACCTACTCGATTCTGTTTCTGTTACCATTATACCTATGTAGGCTCTAGAAAAACTGGTAGGTATTTACAAAAGCTTTAATTACAGAAAACAAAGAGAAATACAAAAAATAATAAAAGGCAAATTTTGTTTAAAATACAAAGTAAATATAAAAAAAATAAAAAACATACACACCAAATGCATTTTAACATATTAAAATAATATTAGTTTTACAAGGTTAATTATTAATTATCTTACATTTTTAGTTCATATCTGATTTACGTTAAATTATTAAAATTTCTTATTATCTTAAACAAATGACTAACAAAAATTTAAAAAAATAAATCTGTCTTTTATATGCATTGTTCGAATGCATAGCACAGCACAAAAAAAATAATTTAAAAATTTAAGTCATAATATGAAATTCCAGGGTTAAATTTTGACTTAAATCTCGAAATTTTAAAATTTCGTATTATAACTTGAAATTTTAAAGTAAAAAACCGTCTTGTATTTAGAAATTTTAAAATTTTGATTTATAAGTCGAAATTTTGAAATATAACTCAAAAGTTTTTCTTCCTTTATTTTTATTTCCTCAAGATTAAATTGGACTGGGCCTTTAACCAGTCACAAAACTAATTGTTTAATTAATATTTTGTTTAAAAATTAGGTAGTTATGCTTAAAACCATAGAAATTAGTCTATAGTCAATATGTCACAAAAACAAAAAACTGTAGATAAAAATTATTTTTGTTTGGTCAAAAGGCAAATTTTTGACCCTATTCCAAATCCAATTTCAAGTTTTTCTATTTTTCGGCTCACCCTAATAAGAAAGCCAAATTTTAACTTTGAAACAGAGAACC